TATATATATATATATGTGTGAATAAATTGAGGACACAATATATAATACCAAACTCAAATATGAGCATTTGTTAATGTTGTTCTACACTACTTCCAGCCTCAACATACTTTTTAACATATTCAACATTATTCCTCGCATTATTTACGCACAATTGTAGTAAACAAATCCATTATTCACTCACCTGTGAGATGCTGAAGAATTCCGCATTGGGTAGGCCATTGTTGGAGCGAGGTGAACCGGAGCGCCGGCGGCGACGACAAGTCCAGGAACGGGTGGCGGTTGGATTCCATAAACCATGGAAGGCGGTCCGGCGACCGGAGTTCCGATGGCAGGCATGAGAGGTCCGCCGAGCGGCCGGCCCACAGCAGATCCATACACTGCAATTCCAGGAGCAGAGGCTGCGGTGTGAGAAGGTTGTTTGATGGCCTTACTCGAGATCGGTGATGAGATATTATTAACTTGGCCCGTGATTGGTCCCTGAGATGCTGATAGATCGCCATTGCTGACGTTGGTGATGTCATGAATGCTTGAGCGTCTTCTATCTTTGTTCATGGAGTTTAGGCGTATGAAATACTTCTGAGCATGGCTTGCCACCTGTGTTGGTGTTCTGGAGATGACGAAGTTTCTTGAAATGCTTCTCCAGTCACCTTTGCCGTATTTGTCTAGTCCTAAAAGGAATAGCCTGGTTTCAACAGGATTCAGGTGTTTGTAAGTTGTAAGTTTGAAAGAAGATTAGAAAATATATAGTAGTAAGTTAATGGTGTTTTAGGTGGTAAGGTAGAAGAGATTGAGATTATGAAGATATTGATGTAATTATTTTTAGAGAGAATGGATATAAAAGGAATTGCCGTGGGGCAAAATCCGCAAAATCCAGTGAGTTCGCAACGAAGAGGAAGCACGCGAGAAACGGCAACGTAAATCCATATAATCCATGTGATAGTCGGATTTGACAAATCCAGATTTAAGTAACACAAGAGCGGAACAGGAGAAAATTGAATTTAACGGAAGGTTGGATTTGGTTCTCCCTCTTTTACTGTTTGGCTGGATTTAGGTGGAATCTATGGCTAAATTCTACTAAAAGTGTTGTACAAACATCCCCTAAGGAGTTTGTTTGGGACAACTTTCCGTTTGCAGATTGCCACCAAGTTCAATTTGACGAACTAATTTATACAAATTTTTGTAATATGAAAGTGATTTTTGATTTAGGTGGAATCCATGGCTAAATTCTATTAGGCTAAATTCTATTAAAAGTGTGCTACCAAACATCCCCTAAAGAGTTTGTTTGGGACAACTTTCCGTTTGCAGATTGTCACCAAAGTTCAATTTGACAAACTACTTTATACAAATTTTTGTAATATGAAAGTGATTTTTGCAACCAGCTCTGCTAAACTATGGCCGGTGTAAGAATTATGTTGTTTGACATTTTAAAAGAAATAAATATTTATAATTCCCACCTTAACTTTTTTAAGAAATTGTTTTCCACATCATAGCTTTACAACCGCCTTTATAAAAAGTTGTAGCCACCCTAAACAGATGCTAAGGCAATGGGTGAGGCTAGTGATGTACCAATGTATTTTTGAGCTACTAGATGTGATACTAAACTCAAAATCCTATCTTATGAATCTTCCCCTGTTGTAAGAACTTTCAACATCGATTATACCTCTGTCTCAAATGAAAGCATTTTTTACATCATTGAGAATCATACACATAGAACGCACTCAGCTATATGATGTTATTGAATTCACGTACTTCTAAATCTTGCTCAATTATTGTGTGAGCTACCCGAGGCCCATGAGGGCTACATAACTAACTGAATTACTCAACCACAGTCAAACAATCAGTTTTAGGGAGATTGAATTAAAAAATGAAAGATTTGGGTTAGATACCCCTATAGTCAAGCTTAGTTTAATGTTATGAGTGACAACATAGTATTTCTTTACTAATATATTTTGAACCATCATATGTGAGACTAAAACTAAAACCTCGTACTTCTTAACAATCTCTCTATCAATGAGACTTTTCACATTGGCTATCACTCCCAATTAAAAAGAAGCTTTGGAATCATACATCAAGCGCTAAACCATATGGTGGTGTAGTCAGAGTCACCTGCTTTTAAACTTCGTTCAATTATAAAAAAACTGAACAATATCCATGGAAGCATATATTGCATGGACTATACAATTTCAATCAAACCATCAATTCTAAGGCCACTCATTAGAAAAAATAAGTTTAATAAAATAAAAATCAGATTAGATAGACTAATAATCTGACTCATTTTCAATTAAAATTTTATGATTAGACAACTTATGCCTATAAATAAGGGCTATGATAGTTCAATGCAACAAAATTTTCAGATAAACAATGTGGATGGTAAAATCAGATAAATTATTATTTGAAATAGTGATATTTTAAACATTATTATGTGACCATAACCTTATGATTTGTTTTGTTTTCACTTAGGGTTCGTAAAAATGTAATGCAAAAGTAATGTATTGTATTTGAAATATTTTGTAGTTGTTTGGTTTATTTACGAAAAACTTCTTTTTTTTTGTTTAGTTTGAAGTATAATGAAAATAATACATTTTTATAATATACGAGGTTTATATAAACTATTGGTGGCAAGAAGTGGTGGCACGGCAGCCAAATGTTACGGGGACGACGATGGTGACAACGGGCGGTAATGGGCATCAACCAACGACCAACAATCGAAGGTGGCAGTGGTGGATGGTATCGGCCGGTGGAGGCGATATGCAGTGTTAGCCGACAAAGGCAAGTGGCGGCGATAACAACTGACAATACTTTATATAGAGTTGTGTACTTAGAATTTTCCCAGATCCAACGAATTATAAATACACAAAAAATGAAGGAATGAATTTTAAAAACATTCTTATTTTACACTATTTGAAATTCTTCCAACCAAATGCCTAAATTTAACTACAAACAACCAATAAGAAGTACCGAAAAAGTTGGATCATTAATGTGTTGTTACATTCTATAAGTAAACTTTACCTTTTGGATATTGTGAACCAAAGTAACACCACATTTACAAACTCAATTTCCAATTTATTAATAAAAATATATTAAATAGTTTTTATTTTATTTTAAGTCATGAGTAATGATACATTTGCTATTATTTTTTTTCATCCGAACGGTTGCACATCAGATTTTATCTTTTATACCCTTCCTAGTTCATACCCCTTGCAAAGAAACATAAAGATATTCTGACTCTATAACTAAGATGAGTTAAGAGTTGTTAATTTGTTTCAAGATAGACATAAAAGTAACTAAATTTATTTCAAGATAGACAAAACATAAATTTTTATTAATTACTCTTATGATTCATTCATTTTTAAATAAATTCAATAATTTAAAAAGACTCGGTATAAGAAAATTCAAGCATCCAGATTAAGTTTTTCCCTAAAAAATTATTACTGCAGAAGATAACAACAATATCACAAGTAAATACAAATCAAGCATTGACCAAACTTAAAAAATACAATGGGAGGAATATATAAACTTGATGCAAAATATACATTTTGGATCGGCCAATGGTTGGTAATGTTATCTAAATTTATCTTATTTACATACCTAACATTTTACCTAAAAATTCAAGTTAACAATCTTATATATTTGCACATTCCACGACTATAGTGTTAAGAATTTAATAAAATTAAAAAAAAATAGGCTAAAGTTTTGTTGTGATATTGGAGAATTAGGTGATTATTATAATTGGAATTGAAATATTATATGCATAAGTGTTCCTTTTCATATCAAGTTCAGCTAGATCTATGAATATGAAAGTAAGCTCCACTAGGAATCTATTCGACTAAACGAATAAAATCAATCAAAATATCATGTCAAACAAAAAAAAGAAAGAAATTTTCTCTTTGTACATATACATAATACCTAAACTTTATTATTTACTTATATAAAATCCAAATTTTAAATATCACATCCAAATATCACTAATATTAACTTTTTATGTGAATAATATCTTTTCATGAATTGTGTAGCACACAACAAAATCTCCCCATTTTTTTTTTTTGCACGAGGGGTCGGGAATTTACATGTATACCACACAATTTTTATGTCGTTACATATCTAACACTTAGATTTTAATATTACTATGATAATACTCAAATTGTTAACTTCACATCAAAATTCTAGTAATATTAACTTTATTTGAATCACAACTTTGCATGCAAATATTTTAATGTGATTATGACATTAAAGCATTATATGTGCAAAAATATAAAATTTAGGTGTTAGATATGTGAATACATGAGAATTGTGTGATATGAAAGTAAATCTCCCTGCTTTTTTTCTCTATTTCTTATCAAAGAATAAATATCTTCAAAGGTAAGTTCACCCAAAAAGGCCACCATACTAATGGCAGTGGCAGCAGTACTGTTGCTGTTGTATGGGTATCCAATAACCACTCATTGAAACAGCTACCCACAAAGTTTAATAGGAAGATCCTTTATATATATATATATATAATTTCACAGGCAAAGCTTTAAAAAAAAAAGAAGATAGTTCAGCCACTGTTTCAAGTATTAATAAGGCAGAAGAAAGAACAACAAGATTTTGACTCCTGACATGTATAATCATATCAAGGAGTTCCTCACCCTATGTGGCAAAAGATTTCCCAAGAACTCCTAAAAAATAAGAGAATTTGCCAGAGAAATAAATGAAAAGATGGATGCTTGTGAATTAAGTACTAATTAAGGTAGATGACATAAATGATGAAGAAGATGAATAGCTATAAAAGAAAATTGGATTAGCCCAATATCATAAATTCTACAAATTTAAGTGATTTTCAACTAATGTAAACATGTCTATTAGATTACAAATTTTGGAATTTGGACTACAAGAAAACTTAAAGATATATTCTGGTGTATTGTTTCATCCTCCTCTAAAGTATTCATTACAAGAAATATGACACTTTTGACTAAATCATAACTTGTAAAAGCATGGAAAAACGCATAAGAAATGAATTTTAGCTTATGGTAATTATACAAAAAGTATTTGCCATGTTGAACAAAATCTTTTCTGTTGTTTTGCTTTTCAATATAATTTTCCGCGCGCACGCGCGCACACAGTTATATATATATATATATATATATAACATTCATCCTGATATTTTGAGTAAGAAATGTCCCAGCTTTCATAGTAATTTCACATCCTTTTTATATATATAATTCATCCTGATATTTTGAGTAACAAATGTCCCAGCTTTCATAGTAATTTCACATCCTTTTCGGCTCCATGTTTGGTCAGTCTACCTCCTCCGTATATCTATGATCACGTGCAACATATTTGCCAAAAAAAAGGAAAAAAAAGAATCCTTATTGCTCGATGTAGAAATACTAGTGCTTATTTTCTACACCTGATTGAAGGTTCATTTAATTTCATGAAAGAAAAAGATAAAATCCGGTGTAAAGACAGAACAGAGCAGCTTCAAAACCATAAATAGTGAAAACAAAAGAAAATTAGACTTTGGATGTACGGATCCATTCAGCAGCTTCCAAGTACTTTCAAGGCATTTAATTAAAAAATTAACCAAAAAAAAACCAAATTTAACGGTATTTAAGAAGAAAGCTCCCTACCAGCACAATCTCAGACATCATTTATATCGATTTTCACAATAAAAAAACAGCAGAAAGGCGATCAAGGAATCAGAATTTCACCTGTGTTCCTCCTCAGTCCAAGCAATCCCCTTACGCCTCTCATGATCCAATCTCGAGCCTTTCCCTCCATGACTGGAATCTCCATGAAAATCTCCACCTTTCTTCACATTTCCTCCACCATCACCCGAACCTTCAGCTGCAGAAGAAGAAGAAGGGGTTGCATAAGTAGGCAGAGGAACCAACCCGGAGTCTATACTCTGAACGTCTTCAACTAGAATCTCATAGTGGGTTTTGATCTCCTCCGAGGTTTTTCCTGGCACAGCGGACACAATCTTCTCCCACCAATCGCTGCAAGTTTCATGGTGGATGGCCAAGGCGTTCTCAAACGCCTTCTCCTCTTCCCAAGTCCAGATTTCAGCTACCATCAAGCAGCCACTCACAGATCTCTCCCTGCCCAAGAATCATAAACTCTGCAAAAGCTCTTTGGGATTGGATCTGAACAGATTCACCGGAAGAACGATTGGGGGAGGGAGATCCCAGAGAAAAAGAACACTTGGGTGTGGAGAGCGGCGGATGTGACAGCAGCGAAGGAAAGAGGAGAGCCACTGAACTCCACGAACAGAAAATTAACGAGAATTTTGTCCCAAAACGCTTCGAGAAGTGAAAAAGAAGAAGAAAAAAATGGAGATGGCGAAAACCAGCCGAAAAGAGAAAACGAAGCGATGGTCACCCATTTGTGCAAACAAAAATGGAGCTTTCTCCAATTCCAGTAAAGGCCAAAATGTCCATAATTCAATAATGCAAAGGTTAACCTGATCCTTCCAAGCAGTAAAAAATTGACTCCGAAGAGAAGTACAGAAATTGCAAACCTCTTTCAGTTCATCTTTCCAATTTATTCATTTAATTATTTTTTTTTACCGTGGCAGTAAAAAACTGTCGTCATAAACCGCATCTTCGTGTAAATTTTTGGGGCAATTTAGAAAAATTCGACAATTGAATTGAATCGAGAGTAACAAATTGAACAGAATGGAAAACCCTAGCTCAAAGAGAATCAAAGAATTAATGGAGCTCCATACCCGAACTTGTCGGATTTGTTGTCTTCTATTCCATCGAAACAGTAGAAATAAATCCACCAATCTCAAGAGTTCCTTCGGGTCCAGAAATCAAATCCCACTGATTGAAATCCATAAGAAAAAGATTTAAATTTTTTTTGAAATTCTTCGCTCTCTTGCTTTCGCTTTCTCCGTCTCGCTAGCCAGCCATGCCGACCTAAGGGGACAATAATGGGTGGTCTCTGGGGAACCGCCCATCAGTATCCTGAAATTAGTGGCAAGCTATGAGATTTTTTTTAAATTTTTATTTTTTAAGATTTAGATACGGGCTGTCAAAAAAAAGGCTAGTTGTTCACGAATAACTTTTTTATTTTTTAAGATTTAGATACCTATCAGTAGGGCTGTCAAAAAAAAAAAAAAAAAAAAAAAAAAAAAAAAAAAAAAAAAAAAAAAAAAGAGTTAATGAGCCGAACAACAAATAATATTTGTTCGTTTGTGTTCGGCTCGTTTTGGCTAGCCGAACACGAACAAATATTTGTTCGTTTGTGTTCCGCTCGTTTTGGCTCGAAATACTGCTAATCAACTATATATATATATATATATTTTTATTGAGTAGTATTTTTGAAAAATTTAATTGACTACAAGGCTACAAATTTATAATCAATTAAAAGTATTAATGAAGAAAATAGTTTATAAATTATTAAATTAGATTCAAATGATATTTTAAATCTTGTCCTTATTCTTAACATCTTATGACTACGTGATTAGGGTTGTCAAAGGGTTGTCAAAATGACATTTTATTCGTGAACGGCTTGTGTTCGGCTCGCTAAGAAAACTTGCCGA